TAAACACAGAAATCGAACTTTCCATTTCTTGACAACACTAATATTCACTCCAAATTCGACATTGCTCCGAATCTCCCAATTTTAGAAAAGTTTTCTTACTTTACGAGAAAAATTTAGAACAAATCATAGGATAAGAACTCTTTTTTATTTAACAAACAGTTTGAATGTACGAGAACAAAATCTTATTCTATGATTTGTTTGTAACTTTTTTCTTAAAATAAGAAATCTCAAATTGAGAGTGATTAAAGAAGAAGGCTGAGTAAAAGGAACAAAGAAATCAGTCCAAATGGGCCGTGACGCGGGCCGTGACGCTGCTCTTCACAAGCTGTAATATTATACCCTAATACTTTTCCGATGCTAAAAAGGCCGAAACAACAACGTTCACATTCGTACTTACCTAAAAACGTTCATCTTCGCCATTTCACCGGAAACAACATTCCAATGCACCGGCATCTGCCATATGAGCTTACATTTGTTTGTATACAGCCTGATTCAGCTGATTCCATAGACTCCATATGCACAGGCATCTTACAAGCTGCAAATTAATGTGAAATGGGTCAGTTTACAACATAAAAAATACATTAATAATACAATTCTTAAATGAAATATACCGGTTATTAACTAAAAGTTTCCGTTTTCTACCTTCAAGAATTCGAAAAAATTCTTGTTCGTATCGTCCAGCTGAAAGTCAAAGGGCACATGCATGCCACAGCGACAGAAAAACACAGCTGAGCGGTGAACAGAACAACAACAGAACAACAGGCTAGGCGACTCAATGAATGAAAAGCTTTTACTACTAATACCACGCTTAACTGTTGAGTACAAAGGACAGAAAAGGGCTTACCAGCAGTGCAGAATTAAGATGTTCACCGTTCCTCTTTCCCATGTGCAAAGGCGATGAAATCTTATGCCGACTCGTTGAAGACTGGGCATGAGAGCGTCTGACCCGTACCCGCGCCCGCGGTACCGGGAGGAATGGCGGACTCGAGACAAACGCGAAATAAAATATAGTGACCTTGAGATACACCGTTTCAGCCTACGGGTACAGTTAAGCGAAAATGTTTACCTCGTAGTTTTATAAAAGACAACCATTATTTTTTGTATGCCATAATGGTGTAACCATTCTACCGGTAGCCTATAGCCTTCCGAGCATCCGTTTTTTTTTTCAAGCGCGACCCACATTTTGATGCGTCTACCTCTCCCTTGGAATTAGAATTAGCCGGCAAAGCAGGCGTATTTTGTTGTGCGATCGATTTGGACTTTCGAATGAGCGACAATTAGGGCGAGAAAAAAATAATTCTCCCCGTCACTCCCCGCTGCCTGCCCCTCCTCACATTTTGAGTCGCGCTTTTAAAACAAAAAACAAACAAAATGGAATCATTTTTTGACTCGCCCCAACTCTCGGTCAGTCGAAAGTCCAAATCGAGCGCACAGCAAGGTACCTTTACTACCCGTTTCTTCCGAGTAAGAGGCAATCTACACGTCTGACAGCTACGCGTAATTTACCCATATCCGTAGGCGGAAACTTTGTATCCTGAAATCTCCAATAACAAGAAAGAATGATCTATGCCAATAACTAGAAATACGTGTCGAATCACAGGTAGCCCAAGCTCGAAATATGAGCATCGGCATTGTTGCCTAACATTCAAAATATAAGGATTTGTACGGGAAAAAAACCTATCGTTTCTCTAACCTACGAAAATGAAAGGATTTCAATAATAAACAGCTTACCTTACTTAAAATGTGTGTTACGTCTCTCCTGAGTGGTCCACGGGCCGATTTATGGCCGTTTTATGGGTTTTTATGTAAATGGTTTTCTCTCTTTCTGCACGTGGACCACACAGGAAAGACGTGACACACATTTTAAGTAAGGTAAGATGTTTTTTATTGAAATCCTTTCATTTTCGTACGTTAGAGAAACGATAGGTTTTTTTCCCATACAAATCCTTATATTTTGAATGTTACGCAACAATGCCGATACTCGCCGATGCGCATATTTCGAGCTTGGGCTACCTGTGGTGGAATGCGTGTACATTGTAGAGCATAACCTTCTGAAGTTCGGGGGAGGAGGCGTGTTAATGCTAGGGTTAGGCCAGAAGAAATATAATATACCAGGGAAGGGTGGGTTTTAATTAGTGGAATCCTAGTAGCGCGTAAACCAGCCTTCGATACAATCAAGACCATATAAATCTGGAACAGTAAACGGCAAACTCAAAATCCTTCAAAATCGCTCAAAAACCCGCCTTCAAGGCAAAAGGACGACAATATACCAAAGGTAAGGTAATTCAACTTTTATTAAAGGTTTATTTATAAACAAACTTAGCAATACATCGCTATAGGTCAAGCAAACGGTAAACCCGATACATTTACTATAAAATAACAATCAGTTACACGCACAGTGTGGCGGCCCTGTGGTAAACAGAACTATCAGGCGTTGTTTATTTTTTAGATCTCAAACAGAATTTAGGTTCTTTTTTGTCCTATTTATCTTAAGTTTTGACCCTTTTCACAGAATAATCTTAAAACTCCTAAATCCACTCATCAATGTTAGGCCGTGGGACAAATTTTCGGTTCACCAGACGAAGATAATGATAAAACCTGCAGTGAGATAGCACCAGAGGTAGACTGTTCACAGTCCCCTATTTTTTCGTGAGATCGTTTGGATATACTGCGTCTTACCGTTACGGGTATCTTGATTTTCAAATGTACCCAAGAGGCAGGCGTCGGGGATTATAGCTCTGGGAGGGGGGTGGGCGAGAAAAAACCGCTCCCGCCCCCTAAGTGGTTTTGACACTCATGCAAGATGACACCCTGTAACACAAAGCGCTCCATATCGATGATCTTACGGAAAAATAGAAGACTGTGAACAGTCTACACCAGAGGTGTTTCTCGCGTGCGGCGGGAATTTCCGAAGGCCGACTAATCTTTAGCTGGAGGCCGAAGGTACGAACGGCGAAGCCGCGAGAAAAAACCTAGAGACTTTTTACGCGGATCACTATAAAGACTTGACAGAAAACGGAAACCGCGCTAGAAAAGTCTCTGGCACCCAGCATAACCTTAGCTAGAGGGAAAAATGTATTTTAAGAAGAACCCTCAGGAGCGGATCCGGAAAATTCAGAAAGAGGCGGTTGGGAAATGTGCCAGATAGCTGCCAGATATAATTAGATACTACTAGTAATAATAATGCAAAGTTTTCCAATCAATTTAATCCAAAGCGAATTTGTGGAAGACGATTTTCACATTGGCCTTTCTTGCCCTATTATTCAACAGTGAAATTTTTTAACGGAAAGGGTCATTCTCTCTTTAAACGTACTGGCAAATGGTACAATGTGCATTTTTTTTTTAAGAAAGCGACGCTCGGGGCATATCTGTGCTTGCGGTCTTATAGGTCTTTTAACGAGGCATTTAATGAGCTTCTGATAATGGTGAACCGATTCCGCAACTGCTAAAGCCCTTAAAAGAACGCTAGTTTTCAATTTCATCTATTAAAATTTAAGCTGGAAAATAATCAAGAAAAAAAAACATGAAAACGCGCTTTATTTGATTATTTGCTTACATTTTCACACCATCCCGTTGCTATGTGACGTGTTTATCTTTTGCACGCGCATTGCCGACAACAGCCTGGCAGTCACGTGAAGAATAGCGCGAGGTGCAGTGCGCGCGCAATCAAAACTAAGCATGACGCCAAAAATAGAATGTTCATGCGTCTATGACGTTCAGTGGACTTTCATTCAGGGGCACCCAACGACAATTTTCGGAAAATTATCTGTTCGGAAGACGATTTGAGGTCTAGAATTTTCGGATCATTTTCTGAAAAATTTCTTGCTTGCAGGCCTCTCCTAGGATTTTCGAACTTCAAAACAATCGTATAATTGCCCATTTTTAACGGATTTTTACCCTAAAAAGGTCACCTAGAATTTTCGGGAGCCTTTTTTCTGGCTGAAATTTTCGAAAAGGTATATTTTGATCCCTATAATTTTCGGATCACTATACTTTCAGCCAGGAAATCCGAACAGATGAAAAATTTTTAGGGGATAAAAATAGGCCTTTATCTAACGTTTAAATACTAAAGTACGTTCAAAAATGCTATGTTTATGTGGTTTTGAACTATATTCTCGTTGGGTGCCCCTGTTTCATTCAATTTCATCCAGAGCGAAGATGAAGTATAAAACGCTATTTACACTGTTTTTTTCCTTCCCCGCTGTTGAAAACAACATTTGTAATGGTAAGAGTGGTTATCCCTTTGGGGACTTCACTTTATTGCATTTCTTCGTTGAAATAAGCTAGCAGGTCGTTGTCCATTGAATGGCAAAATGTGTCCCAGCTCTTAAATGATTGCACAAATTTTAGTTCATTTAGAGCAGCAAAAATTACTTGGCATCATAAAGCTTTTGTTTTGACTAAAATACGTAACATTCGGCGCAGGCTTCATAGCACACGTGTGTATGAATAGTTGTAACATGCAGTGAGGCCTACTAAACCATCATGTGAACAGAAAATAAACTATCAACCCGAAGAACTTACAAAAAGTTTTAAATACTTCTTTGTTTAAGAGAAAAACTTGAACAACACATGCAGTTTAAATGTTCCGCACTATCTTACCCCTTTTAATTGTTAAGCAGGGACTATTCCTGCGGAGTATATATATTCAGATATATTAAAGCCTGTGTTTGACCTGGGTTGGCTACTGTTTAACCCGTAGTTGTTATTTTCAGAAGTTTTTTATTGCCAGTAAAACACGACACTAAAGACAAAAGAGATACTAACAACGATCATTCAGAGCATGCACATAATACTCCTAAACCCCGGATGACAGAGCATGACCGCCCAACACAAAGTGGTACCGACTCTAAGGCGCACCAGCACAAACCAAGCGCGCATTACGAGATAACATCCCCAGGCCTCCGTTTCACTGCGCACAATCTCAGGACTGAAGCTGCAAAGAAAAACCGAAAACGTTCAACGTCTTTTGTTTTCGTTTGGAGCTTCATACGAGAAGAAAAAAAGCAACCCTGCGTGCTAACGACGACGTGGAGGATACAGATAGGGACGATAGTCAAGGACAGTCAAAATCGTCCGTCAATTTTGCATTGTTTGTTGGTGGGTATAATGGTGTTCCTGTTCATATTTGTTGGACTAGCTCGTCTGTGGTATGTTGCTTTGATTTTTCCAATAAAGGAGGAGGGCTCGCTAATATTAAATAAGAATGTTTTTAAGATAGGAACTTATGTATGACACTGTACTGATTGCCCATGAATAGCGTTGTTTTAAACTCGCCATGAACTTAACTTCAGCAGTAGAAGTCATTTTTCACATCCCGTTTGCGGGGAGCTGGGGGGGGGGGGGTCCCAGTAGCACTGGTCGACTATAAATAATGACGAGCCTTGCAAACGAAAAGAAAGCACTTCATGTCGCTAGAAGTTTTGTAGTATAGCACGTCTCTCTGCTTTGTTGGCTGATATATAACTAGGTTTGCGCTACGATAGACTACGTTTTGTATCGAGAATCGCGTGAATTTTCCTATAGGATCTTGTAATACCAAGAGAGAGTGAGGTAAATTATTCCCTCTTGGTAATACCTATTCCCCAGTCCCTTTACAACATGCTATTTCCAAGTTGAGAAAAATCGGCGTATGTTTTATTCTCTCCCGTCTCGTTGTCCACTCAATCCGTTTGTTCGAAGCCTTTCGTGTACTCTCCTGTCCCTCACATTCGTTCAGGACAGCATATTTTTTTTTTCTGTGAGTTTAATTGCAGGAGATGGGTAAGAAAGGATGCTTCAGCAAGCAGGTTAGTGAGGAAGAGCTACTCTTGGAGAGGACCAATCCGAAATGCGGGACACGGACACCAAGGGAATCTGCTGGTCGTAAAACCAAACCAAATCTGCCATCTTACCGACTGCCAGCACCACTTTACGATACCCGATCTCCATGGACACTAACAGAAACTCCCAAATCCACATCTTTGATGGCACTTTCCGCTGAGTATACTGACCTTTTCCCTAGAGAAAACCTTTGCGTGCAAGTCTATATTCCTGACCCAAATCTAGTGTCTGAAGAACCTACTGCTTCTACCGTTGTTGACCTCTCTGAATCCAGTCCAGTTTATATTGTTATTGATGTTTCTGAATCCGACTCCTGCGTGGTTGTTGATATTCCCGGTCGACCTGAGCTCTCTGAACACCTCTTTCACCTGCTCGTCCTTATCTCATGATGCATCATGCAGCATCAGATAAGGAAGAGCAGGTGAAACAGGAAAACCACCGAAGTTCCGTAACATTCCTCTTGTGAATCCCCTATACTTCTGCATCTCCGCGAACACTTCTCAATAGATTAAAGCCTGAGTCTAAGTCATGTTTATGGTTTTCATGTACGTTTTTGGAAAACCTATGGTTTAAGACATTCAGGAGGAACGACTTATGGTAAAGTAGTCATATTGAATTCTGTAAAGCTGAATACCTACGTGAGAATTAACTTTGCAAGACAGCTGTTTCGCCATTTTTGTGGTGAGATGACCAGTACGCGCAACAACAGAGAAGCTGTGAGGAAAAATACCCGAACTCAATGTTTCTACTCAGCGTATATTTTTTCTGATCAGGTCTTTTTTAGATCCTACGTTCCAGCATATCCGTTTGCTGTCCTTGTGCAGTTTTAATGTGAATTTATCGTAAAGTAAATTTAACCAGTAAAACTTAAAAAAAGAAATCTAAATTATCTGGTCAAGTGATCGACCACACCTTCCATTGTTATAAACTTTTAATAAGTGGTTTCCATCACTTGCCAAATTTGCGTCTCTTCTTTCGCACACATACAGTACAAAGCGGTGCGACAAGAGAGCTTAGCTGGGACTGTCATGTCGATACGATCTGTAAAAGGGTTAGAGCGGGTATAGGAGCCTTGGGACGCATCCAATTTTGTTTTTTCGCGTAGCTATCCTGGAAACAGTTCGTAAGGGCTTAGTTCAGCCATGTTTTGAGTACTGTTCTCCCTAGTGGGACACCTGTTGCAAACCATCGAAAGATAAGCTGTAACGATTTCAGCCACGTGCTGTTACAGTTCTCACAGGTGACAGTTATGATATTCGGACAGCAGACTTCATTGACTCTCTTTCTTGACAAACACTTGATGATCGACCGTGCTGTGCAAAGTCAAGTGTAATGTATAAAATATTCAATGATCATCCCGCCCCCGGCTCGGCGAACTCTTTCGTGAGAAGGAATGTCGATCAGACTAATTACCATCTAGTTAACACGGCTACTGATCCACCTACCTGACCTATTTCCTGTTGCTCGGTCGCTATGTGCAGTAAGATATTACAGTGATTACCGTATTATTCTCCATTAAATCCCATGATGTAAGCAGAGTGAACTTTGACTCAACATACCGTAAAATATTGGTTGAAAATACCATATTAAGGTTTCTTCTACTTAAATATTCTGCTACTTGAATAGAGAATCGCAAAAATTAGATCCCACCAGAAATTTCAGTCATCTTGAACCAAAAAAATTTGTTCCCGCAAACCACAACAAATCGCCAACCCGCAAAATAAAACTCCCGGAAAAGTTTCATGCTACACGGTAACAAAAGAAGTTTTCAATTCAGTAGTGCTATGCTTTGGAACCAGCTCCCCAATGAAACAAAGCTCGCTGAGTCAACTTCTTCATTCAAAAACCTTATAGAGTATAGTTCGGTGTTGACAAGCTGTGTATCTTAATAGTGCGTGGTTACTTTTTATATGACTTATATAAAATAGCAATAGTAGGTAGTTGTTAAAATAGCGATGGCAGCAATATAAGGTATCTATAAGGCCCCCTCCATGGAAACCAGCCAAGTTATTAGGTAAAGTAAACGGCGGACTCAAAATCCTTCAAAATCGCTCAAAAACCCGCCTTTAAGGCAAAAGGACGACAATATATACCAAAGGTAAGGTAATTCAACTTTCATTGAAGGTTTATTTATAAATAAACTTAGCGATGCATCGCTATAGGTCAAGCAAACGGTAAATCCAATACATTTACTATAAAATATCAGTCACACACACAGTGTGGCCGCCCTGTGGTAAACAGAACTATCAGGCGCTGTTTACCGCTTAGATCTCAAACAGAATTTAGGTTCTTTTTTTGTCCTATTTATCTTAAGTTCTGAGGCTTTTCACAGAATAATCTTACAACTCCTAAATCCACTCATTCAAGTTTAGGCCGTGGGTCAAATTTGCAGCTCACCAGTCGAAGATAATGATAACACCTGCAGATAGCACCAGAGGTTTCTCTCGCGTGCGGCGGGAATTTCCGAAGGCCGACTAATCTTTGGCTCTAGGCCGAAGGCACGAACGGCGAAGCGGAGAGAAAAAACCTCGAGACTTTTCGCGTGGGTCACTATGAAGACCTGAGAGAAAACGCAAACCGCGCTAGAAAAGTCTCTGGCACCCAGCGTAATCTTAGGTAGAGGGAAAAAAGTATTTTTAGCAGAACTCTCAGGGGTGGATCCACAAAATCCAGAAAGGGGCGGATGGGAAACGTACCAGATATAATTAGATACTACTAATCACACTAATAATAATAATGCAAAGTTTTCCAATCAATTTAATCAAAAGCAAATATGTGGAAAACGATTTTCGCACTGGCCTTTCTTGCCCTATTATTCGACAGGGAAATTTATAACGGAAAGGGTCATTCTCTCTTCAAACGTACTGGCAAATAATACAATGTGCATTATTTTTAAGAGAGCGACGCTGGGGGCATATTTGTGCTTGCAGTCTTACGGGTCTTTTAACGAGGCACATTTAATGAGCTTCTGATCATTGTGAACCGATTCCGCAACTGCTCAAGGCCTTAAAAGAACACTAGTTTACAATTTGATCTATTAAAATTTAAACTGGAAAATAATCAAGAAAGAAAAGTGATCGAAAACGCCCTGTATTTGCTTGCATTTTCAAACCATCCCGTTGCTATGTGACGTGTTTATCTTTTGGGGGCTCCTTACCGAGCACAGTCTGTCAGTCACGTGCAGAATAGCGCGAGGTGCACTGCACGCGCAATCAAAACTAAGCATGACGCCAAAAATAGAATATTTATGCGTCTATGACGTTCAGTGGATTTTCATTCAATTTCATCCAGAGCGAAGATGAAGTATAAAACGCTATTTACACTGTTTTTTTTTCCTCCCCCGCAGTTGAAAACAACATTTGTAACGGTAAGAGTGACTCTCCCTTTCAGGACTTCACTTTATTGCATTACTGTGCAAATGTCGTTTGTCGATCGTTTGCACGAGATAATTTTGTACCTTACTTTTTCGTTGAAATAATCTAGCAAGTCATCGTCCATTGAATGGCAAAATGTGTCCCAACTCTTAAATGACTCCACAAATTTATTACTTCATTTGGAGCAGCAAAAAGTACTTGGCATTATAAAGTTTTTGGTTTGACTAAAATACGTAACATTGGGCGCAGGCTTCATAGCACACATGCGTATGAATAGTTATAACATGCAGAGAGGCCTAGTAAACCATCATATGAACGGAAAATCAACTATCAACCCGAAGAACTTACAGAACGTTTAAAATGCTTCTTTGTTTAAGAGCAAAAATTGCACAGCATATGCAGAAAAAATATTCCGAAATATGTTACCCCTTTTAATTGTTAAGCAGGGACTATTCCTGCGGAGTATATTCAGATATAAATGCTTGTGTTTTGACCTGAGTTGGCTACTGTTTAACTCGTAGTTGTTATTTTCAGAAGTTTTCTATTGCCAGTAGAACACGACACTAAAGACAAAAGAGATACTAACAACGATCATTCAGAGCATGCACATAATACTCCTAAACCCCGGATGACAGAGCATGACCGCCCAACACAAAGTGTCACCAAATCTAAGGCGCACCAGCACAAACCAAGCGCGCATTACGAGATAACATCCCCAGGCCTCCGTTTGACTGCGCACAATCTCAGGACTGAAGCTGCAAAGAAAAACCGAAAACGTTCAACGTTTTTTTGTTTTCGTTTGGAGCTTCATACCAGACGAAAAAAGCATCCCTACGTGCTAACGACGACGTAGAGTATACAAATAGATTCAATAGTCAAGGACAAGTCAAAATCTTCCGTCAATTTTGCATTGTTTGTTGCTGGTCATATACCGTATTTATTCGAATAAGCGCCCAACCTCGAATTAGCGCCCACCTCGAATAAGCGCCCATCCTAAAGGCAGAAAAAGTTAATAAGCGCCCAGCCTCGAATAAGCGCCCACCCCTCCTCCTCCCAATCAAACTCAAATAAGCGCTCACCCCCACCCCACCCACTTGAGTGAATAAATTCCAATAAGAGACTTCCCCGAGGACGGAGTTTTCTTCAGAGTATTTTACAGAAACCTTGCTTTGTTACTTCTTCGCATTTTGTTATTAGCATTGATTGTTTTGTTGCAAAATAAACATACTTCACTTGCTGATAATGGTGAAAATTTAATAAGCGCCCAGCCTCGAATAAGCGCCCACCTCGAATAAGCGCCCACTCTCAAGGTCCAAAAATTTAATAAGCGCCCAGGGCGGTTAATCGAATAAATACGGTAACCAAACCAAATCTGCCATCTTACCAACTGTCAGCAACACTTTTCGATTCCCGATCTCCATGGACATTAACAGACACTCCCAAATCCACACCTCTGATGGCACTTTCCGCTGAGTATACTGACTCTTCCCCTAGAGAAAACCTTTGCGTGCAAGTCTATATTCCTGACCCAAATCTAGTGTCTGAAGAACCTACTGGTTCTACCATTGTTGACCTCTCTGAATCCAGTTCAGTTTATATTGTTATTGATGTTCCTGAATCCGACTCCTGGGTGGTTGTTGACATTCCCGGCCGATCTGAGCTCTCTGGACACCTCTTTCACCTGCTCGTCCTTATCTCATGATGCATTATGCAGCATCAGATAAGGAAGAGCAGGTGAAACAGGAAAACCACCGAAGTTCCGTAACATTTCTTTTGTGATTCTCCTATACTTCTGCGTCTCCGCGAACACTTCTCAATAGATTAAAGCCCGAGTCTAAGTCATGTTTATTGTTTTCATGTACTTTCTAGAAAACCTATGGTTTAAGACATCCAGGAGGAACGACGTATGGTAAAGTAGTCACATTGAATTCTGTAAATCTGGACAACTACGTGAAAATTAACTTTGCAAG